ATGTCCTTTGTGTATGCAAATACGGCTGTTTTTCATAGCATGTGTTAAACTATACCCCTCCCTCCTTTATTGCATATATTATAAATATTAGAATTATTAGAATATTTGTTTTTTTTTTTATTCTTCTTTTTCTTAAAACGTCATGATTACGTCATAACTTATATGACGTCATAAGACGTCGCAATCGAGTTGACGGTAAAATATAGCTAAAAAATTTAGCAATGGGCGATTTTGAATCCGAAGAATCCATGGAATATGAATCCGAAATGTCCGAAATTGATACAGATACAGATTCAGATTTAGAGAATGAAACGTTGAATCCTAGTCTATGGTTTCCAGTATTAAACACTGAAGAGTTTTATATGCCAGAAATGCAGGAATTTCGTGGAAATCGTTTTGGACCAGTAGACATTCGGCCGGATGATAAAGCACATGAAATATTCCTATCCATGTTGACGGACCCAGAAAATGTAGAGAACAATGTGGTGGACGTTCTTGTGAAAGAAACAAACAGATACGCTGAACATCGGATATCAATGGGAAATCTGAAACCACGATCAAGGCTCCATATGTGGCGTCCAGTATGTAATGAAGAAATGAAAGCTTTCCTCGGACTCTTGTTGCTAATGGGCATAATTCAGAAGCCAACATTAGCTTCGTATTGGGAAACTCAGGACAAGTTGTGGTTGAGAAGAACTCCTTCCTTCCGTTCTGTGATGGCAAGGGACAGATTTTTAGCCATTCTATCTAATCTACACGCAAATAATAACCAGACAGCACTGCCAAGGGATCATCCACAATATGACCCAATGTACAAAGTTAGACCAGTTATTGATGTATGCAACACAGCATTTAGGAAGAATTACAGGTACAGCATTAATGTTTCTTTAATATGATCTCATTAACATCCGATGAAAAAGTACGTTTATAAATTTCCAGTGGCAAATATTACATACACACCCGGACAAAAATCGATTGCAAAAGATTAACATAAACAAAAAAGTAAATAAATCGGTTAAATAACTACACGAACAAATAAATACACAGTAGCTATACTAGTAATTCAATACCAATTGGCATTGATCCGTGTCACCAACATAGACGTTTTTCCATACGGAAGAGTTAGATTTCAAGAACACAAAAAGGTTAGTTTTATCCGATGTGTATTTTACTGAATGAAATATGCCATGGCATTAAGGTCGATTCATTTCCTCTATTTGTAGTCAGACAATAGTTACTTTTCGCATCGCTTTTTCAAGCACGTGCAATATATCTATCTATTTTTGTCAAATACGCGTGTATATCATGTATATTAAATATAAATAATTAGACCACGACATGTAACTTTATTGAACTATGTAATTGAAAATATTAAAAAAAGTCGATTGAAAAATATAGTGATTTTCATTAGAAATATTTTCTCCGTCAGGTTAGGAAGAGATATTTGTGTAGATGAACGAATAGTAGGATTTAAAGGTAGACATAATATCGTCCAATACATTTCAAAGAAAAAATCTCATCAGTGGGGAGCCAAGGTATGGGTTCTTAGTGAATCTGATACAGGATATACTGAGCACGTACAGTTATACTATGGAAGACGTAACCGTCAGCAGCCATATCCTCATGGAGTTGGCTATTCAGTTGTAACAGAGTTAATAGAGCCACACTATAATAAATTCCATCATGTAACAACAGACAGTCTCTTTACCAGTCCAAAACTCACTCACGACTTACTTGGTAATGGCACTTACTCGACCGGAACAGTCATAGCAGGCAGAAAGGGAATGCCATTGAGTTTCAAAACCTTAAAAACCCCTAAAGGAACGGTCAATGCTAAGAAGCAGGGAAATGTACTGGCAATTCATTGGTCTGATCGTCGACAGGTGCGATTTCTTACATCGTCTGATCATTGCAGGTTTGTTATGTTCATTTAAGCTATGTTTAGATAAGCTGCCTAAGAACCTTTGAATTCATAATTGAAGTCTTAATAACTTTGTAATTTGATGTATAGAGTGTTCAGAAAATACTAATGATAATAATAATAAGAATAACATTAATGATAAAAGTAATAGTAATAAAAGAAATAGTAAACAACAACAACAACAACAACAATAACAATAATGATAATTGATGATGATAGTTATAAATTAAAAAAATTAAAACGAAGATAATTTATGATGATAATAATAAATAAGGAAAAATAAAAATGGTGATGATTATGACGATTTTCTGTTGTAGCATATACAGGCAAATCTGTAATATGAAAGTAAAGTTATAGTCTATTATGAATTTGATTTGATAAGTTATTTTTATTGCAAGGTTGGAAACTGCTTCAAATTCTAAGGGAAAGGAAAAAGTCGCTCCGGGAGTTGTCCATACTTACAATGAAAACATGGGGGGAGTAGATTTAGGAGATCAACTTATCTCAGTTTATGATCCAGACATACGTTCAGTGAAACTTTGGAAAAAGATTCTTGTTAATCTTTTATTGACTGCTTGTGGTTAGTATTTTAATCATTTATAATACAATTATTTTTTCAATAATAAAATGTGCCATCTAACAAGAAAAAAAACCGAATGGCAATTATTTATTGTTCATATATATATATATATATATACGTATACAAAGTGATTCCGATAACCAATCGTCAATGAATTTACGACTACCTACTGCATCTGCTCAAATAATCATTGCGGTAGAATACCAACGTCCGTCTTATTAGCAAACATTTCAACATGCATATGCTATTTTATCCTGCAATCGACCTTTCTATTATATAAATACAGATGTACAGATAACATGAAGCGATATACGTATACTAGACGTATATAGTCTCCTGGTATCCTGCTTCTGTTGCGAGCGAACGGTTATGTCAAATTACTGTTTGGGGTCCTCATTCCGGTCCGCGTTTAAGTCCTGTCGATTTCTTTCAAAAACAAATTCAACGATTGGGATGGGAAAAAAATGAACAAAATTAATTGCAGGATAAAGACAATATCTGTTTAGTGTCTTTAAATATCAGCTGTATTTATACTCTGCTCAAAACAGGAGTAATAGCTCGCTTAAGCTCACATTACACCTGTTTCTTAGCCTCGTACACATACAGCTGATATTTAAAGACACTAAACAGTTATTGTTTATATATTCGTTATCCTTATCATTAAAGTAGTATCTTAATTAGCTCAGTTCAGGATGCCAAAAATATAACGTAACTGTATAATATAAAAAATAAGGAGCTGTGGTATGATTGCCAAAGAGACAACTATCCACAAAAGTTCAAATGAAGTGGATGTACTAAGCAATCATAGACAATCGTAATTCCTTCAACAATAAGAAAAACCCATACCGTAAGGTCGGCTGTAAAAGGCCCCGACAAGAAAATATGAAACAATTCGATTGAGAAAACTGTCGGCCTAATTTATAACAGAATAGTTTACGAAAAACAAATATGAAAAACATGAACCAACGACAACCACTGAACTACAGACTCCTTGTTTGAGCAGGCACAGGAAGAATGTGGCGGGTTTAAACATGTTTAAGAGTGCTTTTTATGATATAACTATGATACATTTCATGTACGAACTACAATATTGGTATTGCTCATAAAGTCCAAATGTCGCTGCACGACAGTCACACAATGACGTAATCGCTGAAACGATTATGGACGAAACTTAATTATGTAAAATATTTCCAAGAATTCAAAACTATTATTTAGCTATATATATATTATACAATTCCTGCTTACAGTGAATGCATATATTTGCCACAAGAGATCATTCCTCTTGGGGAAAAAGTTAACCCATCTCCAGTTTCAACAGGAAATTGTGACTGGCTTAATTGGGGAGCATAACATTCAAAGTCGAGTTTTGGGTAGGAATGGAGAAGAAATGGTTCGTAGAGCAACATCAGAGCATTTCCTGTTTGAAATCCCTCGAAGAAAGAGGAGGAGTTGTGTTTCCTGTCATAAACGGAAGGTTATAACTTGGTGCCAACAGTGCAGAGAAGGTCTCTGTCTAGGAAAGTGTTTCAAGGACTATCACAAACACAAGCAACGTCAACACGAAGAGTAAAGTAACTTGTGAAATTCATTAACTACTGTGTTGTTTGCTGTATTACTAGATGTATATATACGATGTGTTACGATTGGTGATGTGAACTGTCATTGAACCGAATTAAAAATTTGGAAAAATGTATGTTTTTTTCTGTTGACCAAATAAAGTTACAGCTACATGCCCCCATCTTAAAATCATGACATAAGAAAGATAAATTGTATAGGGTTCAAATAGTTCTTTTAACGCTTTCGTAAGTGAACAGAATACGTTTCTTGTGGTTGCATTACGTTTCGGAAAAAAAGTTCTGTTTTTCTTCTTAGCATTGCAAAGTGCTTGACGTTATTTAATTGAAAAGCGCCAAACTTGCTGAAGACGTGACGTTCTTACCTTATGACGTTAAATGATGTCATATTAGGAACGTTATTTTAAAAAAAAATAAACGTGATTACTATATATCTTATTATGTCATTAATTATCAATTGAAAATACAAGATTTTATAACAATTGACTTAAAATGATATTTGGTACTGAAATTGTGCCGTTTCTGGACAGTGTTTTGTAAAACGGCCCGCACTAAGAGGGTTAAAACGCCCATTCCATTGACCGTCACTTAATCTGCAATGTGAAACCAACTTGTAATTTAGAAAACTTAACATATGCGCAAATTTGGTTAAAGTTCTACTGATGTAGGATATCAATCCGCCTCGATTAACACTTATCTCTATAGCAACTGTAAAACGCTAATGCATATTCATTAGATTAATTAATTACCTATTACGCAGGCGGCTATAGAAAAGAACAGATGTATTTCGAAAAAACGGAAGGCATTTCCGGTACTCCGAAAGACTACAAAATCAACCAACAAGTATGAGAAGATAATAATCAACAAATTCACATGATTACTTTACATAAATATTCCTTCATGATGATCCGTAATCATTCGAATGGCAGACAACAATCTCGAGGAAAAAGCATTCATTTTTAATAGACTTACTCAAAATTTGATTCCTCATTAAAAATCTTTGTTTGTGTACAGAAAGAATATTTAATATCAAAAGTAAGTACTCTAAAAGAGTAAAATTGAAAGAAAAATTCTAAATTAATATTGACGCATTTTGTTGACAGGTTTAGACGATTTGTTATAATAACACATATGATGGTGGCTACTAAAAAGCTAACGAGTGAAGCTGTGGATTACTAATGGTGTCTTTTCTTATAACACTTGCGAGAGTGGCTGCTAAAAAGCTGACGGGTGAAGCTTTGGATTACTAATGGTGTCTTTTCTTATAACACATGCAAGCGTTGCTGCTAAAATGCTGACGAGTGAAGCTTTGGATTACTAATGGTGTATTTTCTTATAACACATTCGAGCGTGGCTACTAAAAAGCTGACGTGTGAAGCTTTGGATTACTAATGGCGTATTTTCTTATAACACATTCGAGCGTGGCTGCTAAAAAGCTGACGAGTGAAGCTTTGGATTACTAATTGTGTATTTTCTTATAACACATTCGAGCGTGGCTACTAAAAAGCTGACGAGTGAAGCTTTGGATTACTAATGGTATATTCGAGTGAAACACTAATGCTGATTCTTCATAATAACACATATCATGGCTGCTACTAGAAAGCTGACGAGTGAAGCTATGACTACAAAATAAATAAAAATAATATAATTATGGAAATATTTCTTAATATTTTACTTAACTTAATAAAAAAAAGGCATATATAAAAATAATGACACGTTATATATCATAAACTTGGTTACATATTGCCTTTCACATAGTGAATTGACTGTAATTCTGATACGAAAATGAAAACTAAATGATCATCGTGAACTCTACAGATAATATAACTCCATATGATATAGCTCGACACGAGCGGAGGATATAAACTTTATGACATAAGGATATATTATAAAAAAAAATTACAGGGAATTATGTGAAAGCTACATATATAAGCAAAATTTGTTTGTCCTTGCGTTTTATATCGCATTTGTTTATCCCAAACTAGGGACTCCCAAGAGCCTAAATCGCTCACCGCAAGACTATGTCGAGTTTTCACAATCGCAATCAGCTATGTTTGGCTTTTTGTTTTGTAGATAAATCATATAAGGAGGCAATTGAAGATCATTAATTTATTTGTAGATCTTATCTTCCTCATCATTTGTGCTATTTACAGTTTATCTCTGTATATCATTAAGGTTTAAAGATGTACAGAAACATCGTTATTTAAAGGCAATAAACTAAGGAGTCGAGTTGACGGTTTTCTTTATCTGTAGATCCTATCTTGTAGATCATTTTTTGCTGTTTATCGGTTCTCTGTAATAATGATAATAATAATAAATTCTTTATTTAAAGATGGTAAACACAGTTAGTTACAACAAACTAATCTTCCCTGAGGCCCTCAAAAATGTATCTGTAATAATTATGAAAACAATAGCAAACAACGCAAAAAGGGTAAGACTTTTCTACATATATTGTACATCATGATTTGTTGACCGTTGTTGGATATATATGTGTCACAGATCACCGTGAAATTATTCTACTTGTCGAAACGAGTGTCCCACGTTGGTTGCTTTTGCCTCAGTTTTCTGAGTTGTATTTATTCCATGTTTTCATGTTTTAGAGTTGGGGAACTTACAAATATTGTTGGTTTATAAAATGGTCTTAGGGTTAGACATGACACATTACCAATCCGCAATATTGTTGGATGCTTATCACATTTTATTTTGTTTCATCGACGGATTTTAATAATATAGTGACTCGACGGGTGTCACTTGTTTAGCAGGGATCTCTGATTCTTTCGCAGATTGTTCATCCGCTATTTATGGTAAAGTTTATGCTGCTTGTGTTTATCAGCTCGTCTTTTTTGTTGGCCGCGGTGTTGTCTGTTTTTGATATTCTCGTGTTATTTTTGTTTTGTCCAAACATCGATTCCAAGTCTTACTATTCATTGTGCTTGAAACTATAAAGTCTAGTGTTTTTATGCAATTTAGATGTGTCGGTCATATTTTTACACAAATGTAGCAAAAATCAATATATGCAGGAAATAACAAAAAACGTCCGGACAGTTGTATGAAGTTTTAAGGACGCCATCACGAGTCAGATGACGACGGATATATTCCAATTGTCGTAACCACAATCCCGTCCTCTCTTCCCCGAACGTGACCTACCGAATTAGACTTATCAGCGGATTTTTACTTCGTGTTGCTCAGTCTTTAGTTTTCTATATTGTGTATTGTGTACTGTTGCTTGTCTTTTGGTCTTATTTTTTTTTGCCATGGCGTCATGGCGTTGTCAGTTTATTTTTGACTTATGAGTTTGAACGTCCCTTTGATATTTTTCGCCTCTATTTTCAGTCAGATAGATAATTCCGATGTGTAGAAGTACTTCTAGGAGTACAAAAGGCGAGTTGCTGAGTAGTACACCCGGTGTTATTTTCAGTCAGATAGATACTTCCGGTGTGTTGAAGCACTTTTAGTCGTACAGACAGCGAGGTAGCGTAATTCTCAGTCAGATAGATACTTACGGCGTGTAGAAGCACTTTTAGCTATACAGGCGGCGAGATGCTGAGGAGTACACCCAGCGTAATTCTCAGTTTCATCACTTGCATCACCACAGTCATCTGTACAATCACATTTAAAACTATCCTCGATACAGTTAGAGGAACCAGTGGCACAGGTAAACCAGCCAGAAGGACACATCTAATAAGAAAGAAAATAGTTATGCTAGAAACAATCATTTCAATTATAATAGATAACTTTAATCTGGTTTGAATATTTGTTATGTATGTTTATGATATTCAATTAGTTTCCGATTTTTAATAAACGACGGAGTTATGTATGTAACCACTGTTACTCCACCAGGAACTCATTCGTATGTCATTTACAATTCATTGTAAATTTAATATAAAAAGTTCGGCTTATTTGATCTTGGTTTTAACTTTAAGGCATTAATTTGAAAACTTAAGGGAAAACGATACAGAAAAATTTTGACACAAAGTCAACTTTGATATGCACTATCGAAATATAAGAATTCTGGAGGCAGCGTTGTTTAATTACTATATATATATAAAAATATTAATTTTCGCGAACCATTTAGGTCACGGAAATTCCATTTTTTGCCATCAGTAAGGAGAGTTGTACAAATAATGTGATTACACAGAACCCCGATCCAATTCATCTTTTGCTAAAAATATTTATCATTTTCTGTTTTATATCTCCTAACATCATTCCATTTTTCTGTATTTTCGATTAAAACTTGCCAAAACCTGCAGTAAAAATAGATGTATGCCCCAAATAAACATTCCCCGATTGGTTGAACTACTTTTGCGTCGATGTAAGCCTCGATGTAAAGCAACGCAAGCCTCGATGTAAAGCACACGCTTCCCAAGAGTAAGGAGAGTTGTACAAATAATGTGAATACACAGACCCCCGATCCAATTTATCTTTTGCTAAAAGTGTTCATCATTTTCTGTTTTGTATCTACCAACAACATTCCATTTTTCTATAATCGCGATTTAAACATGTCAAAACCTGCAGTAAAAATAGATGTATGCCCCAAGTAAACATTCCCCGATTGGTTGAAAAGCTGTGGCCTTGATCTAAAGCAACGCAAGCACACGCAAAAATTTCCGTTGATATGTTGGACTTCGACCCCGGGCCGATTCACAAGGAGACTTTCTTGCGCTCAAATGTAATTCTAAGTGAAGTATACTGGGAAAGTAAAATTATATTCTTTTATAGAAATATTAACACATTTTATCATTAATGTATTGTCATGCTTCTGCATATTTACGCTGAGCTTTAGTTAAATATAATTCTACACAAATTTTGTTACGTCAAGCATTAAGAGTAAGAATATTTCGCGCCAAAACAAGAAAATCACCTGTATCACAAAATAAGTTGTCAGCATCTTTCTGAAATTTTCCAATAGAAAATAGCGTTTAGTGTAGAGAAATTTTGGTAAGTATTACTTATTAATGTTAAGGTTCTCCAGAGGTGGTTCTTTAGACCTTCTTGACGGTCAATTTAATCCCATATATCAATTATCCCCGATGCCGATGACAGAAATTATGGCAACCCAGTCGATTTGTGTCATGAGTGAACATCTTATCTATTTGATGAAATAACTTCTTTATTAACTGAACATGCAATATTTTTGTAGTTTTTGATAACCGTGCACATTCCCATTGCATGTCCGCAAGATAAATGGGTTATGCATTTGTGAATTGTGTAATGACAGTAATTATGTAATGAGAATAATGGCGGACGATGAAAATTTGTGACGTCAGTGCGTGATCACGTGACATTATTATTTGTAAACAAACGGGCTCCCCATGTAACACGTGTCGGAACTATCCATACGAGGTGCAATCAATCTTATATTTAACTTTTGATGATATTTCTATGTCTGTTTGTAGGTTTTGCAGATCAGATGTCATACTCATAATGTAGTTTCATAGTCATGGACAAAGTACCATTGTTCCTGCTCAGTAGTTGCAGTAGTTGTGAATTTTTTTTTATAGAATTAGAAGGTAAGTCTACATTAGTCATTCTGAAAAAAATTACTCAACTCTCTGTGTAATTTTTCCTCAATTTTTGAAACAAGCATAATATAAAGAGCATTTGCTTCCCTTGAAGTTGAACCCCCCACCCCCCTTCAAATTGCCCAAAACTCATACTCAGTCTGAGATTACTCTGACGTTGAACGTCTGTTTTGCATTTCTTGCATTTTAACTCGTATTTTCAAATTGAACACACTCGGCCATTCAGCTTATTTGCATCATAAATGAATGAGGTGTTAGATTATGTTTTCCTATTGAATATGTGTCATTTGCATAAATCAGCTCCCATAATGCATTGTAAATTACTTTTTTTGTTGGTCATGTCACAATCTGTTAAAGTGAAAGTTAAAATGCCAGTATTGATGTGTCAATGTGAAAACTGTCCAAATATGAGATAATAACTAGTGGCAGGTCGATTAAATTTACTTAAATTAAGAGAAAAATGAACAAATTGAGGCTTGATTAATATGGATCAGTCACCTCCAGAGACAATCAAGCAGCACATCCACTTTGGACTGGCAAATATCTATCTGATATGGGACGAGCTGAAGAATCACTGCCACAGTTGGTGTGGCAAAACAGTCCTTGGAGGTCAGAGTAATCTCTGACTACAAAACTCAATTCCAATGACAAAAATGCCCTAATCTTAAATTGAAAGCAATGGAAAAGTAAACTGTAAATTATAATGTTGACAATGGCCACATATTGTTTTAGTTCAATGTACATGTAATAATATGCAGGATAATACATGGACTTGATACTGCTTCAAGGTTATACAGGTTTGTCAATGTAAAAATAAAATAATTTATTTGCTAATTTAGGGAGCTACCATTTGGTTTTTAGGGGGGAAAAGGGGGGGGGGGGGGGGGGGGGGGGGGGTTCCTGGGATGAAATTTGAAAAAGGCAGGAGATGAATTCTTAAGTAAAAAAAAAGGCAGGATGAGACAATATTTGAAAAAAAAAAAAAAAAAAAGGCAGGATGACAATTTGTGTAAAAACAAGTCGGGATAAACTAATAGAAAAAAAGGGAGGACCAAAAACAGTGAAAAATAAAAAGGCAGGACAGATTACAACTCAACTGAAAAAAAATGTAGGACAAAATTTTTTATCCTAGGCCCCCCCCCCCCTTTTTTCCCCCATAAAAATGGAAAGGAAGCTCCCTTATAGTGTTTCCTTCAGAGGGTGTTGGCCTGGAATTGTACCCTGCAGTTTTCATACGCCTGTTCATGAGAAATATTATGGTATGCCTTTGTCCGTTTGTCTGCCCTGATCTGTCTGTTTCTAGCATGCTGTTCACTAACTCAGTAATATTTTCACCAATATGCATGAAACTCTGGTGAATTGATTATATCTACTGGCCTGAGCTCCATTTTAGATTTTAGGAATTTTAAAATATACGTTTTCAAAATGTGAGGTTTTATTCATTAAAAAAGGGGGATTTTCATGTTAACGCCCATTAACTCTAAAGATGCTTTGTTCACTAACGTCAAAGCTTTCGCCAATTTGCATGAAACTGTTGTGAATTGATTATTTTATACATTTTAGGTTTCCCGTTTCAGAGTTATATGGGATTGTATTCATGTATTGATGTGAGCTCCCTTTAGATTGTTTTGGAATTTTAGGTTTTACATTATCCAGTCACAATGTAAGGGGTTTTATTCATTCAAAAAGGGGGATTTCCATGTTTTCGGACATTTACTCGAAAATGCTTTAAGCAGTTGTCATTTGTCAATTCAGAGTTCGCGAAAACTTATTTTGGTCTGACGGCCATGGGACCGACAAACCATGATTATTTGTCAGTCCTACAAAATCTGTCAATTTTATCCTGAAATAAAATTAATAACATATTTTATCGAAAAATAACTTTATTAATATTAGTTTTATTCTTCGCACCCACAGGCAAATTAATAATGAAGGACCAGTTCAGGTCTTCTGATTGTTCTTAATTAAAGTCATCTTCACTATCCATTTCATCATCTGAATCATTTTCTCGGCTGTTACAGTATTTGTTTGCTCCATTGTTGGGTTCAATCGCTGATTGTTTGCCAGCGATGGCTCTATGAACAAATTTAGTAGGCCACGTGTAGATCGCCGCTTTGGTTTGTTTATGATAAATTCATAAACCAGTACCGGAAATTGGCAGCGCGTACATCTGATAACTGATGTAAACACTTATTGGAAACAGTTGCGGTAAATCTAATAACCGAAGTAAAAAAGTGCCGAAATATGCACTACAACGGCCGTTTTTACATCGGTCATCAGGACCGGCACTAGCCTTAAAAATACTGGTCCGAGCCTCATTTTGACCGACAGGACCAACCATTTTCGCGAACTCTGCTGTCTTGAAACTTTGGTTAATTGTTTATATCTAAAGATGCAAGCTCCCTTTCAATTTTATAAAGTTAAGGTTTTATAGTTTCAGAGTTGTGGGATTTTATTCATAAAAAAGGTTGGATTTCCCAGTCTGCGGATCAAATTCTAAAGTGTGTACATGCACTTCTCTGGCATGTTTCAGTAAATGTGTAAATTATAACTGACAAAACTAACTTTGACAATGACCACATATTTTTAAGTTCAATGTACAAGGTAATGCATATAGATTTGATACTGCTGCTGCAAGGTTATACAGGGTTGTCAATGAAAAAAACCCAATTTGTTTGCCAACTTAGTGTTTCCTTCAGAAGGTTTTGGTGTGGTATGACACCCTGTCATCTTTTATGGTATACCATTGGCCGTCGTCAACATGTTGGAAAACTAAAAAGAATTATTCTTCAAATATTATTTTTTTTCAAATTTCAAATATTGAAAATTTCAAGAAGTAATCTTAATTGCACAGTATGGCGCATTAGATTTGTAAAATCTTTGACCACATTTATTTATTTGTTATGCCAGATCTGACCATGTATTTAGATTTTTAATTTGGTCTACATTAAGGTCCAAAGGGTCCAAAATTAAACTTAGTTTGATTTTAACAAAAATTGAATATATGGGGTTATTTGATATGCTGAATCTAAACATTTATTTAGAATTTTGATTTCGGGTTCAGTTTTCAAGTTGGTCCAAATTGGGGTCCAAAGTTAAACTTTGTTTGATTTCAATAAAAATTGGATATATGGGGTTCTTTGATATGCTGAATCT